CAAAACATGCTTTGCTCTTGATGCTAGGGATTCCATGTGGCTATATTGCAATATAAAAAATATGACCCTGAAATAATTACTTCTTCAAAGAAATATCGCAATTTTAATACATTTTCAGTGAACAGTAAAGTGTCTTGTTAAGTAGACTATTTAACGCACGCGTACGTACTCGCATAGCAGAGGACACGGGGTTTAATGTTTTCTTTTTATTTTCCTCATACTCCTTAACCATTTACCTACAAAATGACAGGTAGAGTTTTTAAGGTTGATATTATGCATTCTAGCTACACAATTATTTTTGTGTTGTTCCTGTGATTGGTTACTCTTTCAAATTTGAAATTCTATAACTGCAGAATATTTCATTTATCTCTAATAAGCATGTGTCGCAAGAGTTTGAAGGTACTCATTCATTAAAGGTATTACAAAGTTTTGGTAAATTTTAAAAATTGGCTGGATTGTGATTCTTTACAATTTTGCTATATCTGGATGCCCCTATGGATGTATTATAAGCACACAAAAAATAGCCCCTAAAACACTTCTGCTTTTGAGCAAAATTGAATATACAAATTTACCAGTGCTCCCGGTAAGTTTTGATAAATTTCAAATAGCGCCTACGATTATGATGGTAGCTGCGACCATGAAAATCTCAGAATATTTAGTTGTGATATATATATTCCAGACGGTAATAGCAAATCGGTCGATTTTATTCAAAGAACATTGTTTTATAGCTAAATTAATATATTGACATTGAGAGGGCGCTATAAAACATAAAGAGTTTCTTATTTACAATTTCATCACTTTAGACACGATTTCAACCGCGACAACGATCCCTGAATATTGTAGGATCGCCTATGCTTCCAATATTTTCATTTGAACCAAATTCATGACCCCATACCAAACCTTTATATAATCTTTAACAGTTTCAGGCGTTGTACATATTATCTTGAAGGGAGAAATCTAATTCCTTTGTAAATTTATTCATAGTGTAGTAGGTAGACACATATCAAATAAAATCCAAGTATTTTATTTGGCAAGTACTAATAATTACGTTTTTAGCCAAGGTAATTGCATTTTTAAGGTTTAATATTTGAAAAACTAAGATGGAGTGGAATAATTACCATTACGTAATTACGTTTTATAATTACGTTTTTAGCCAAGGTAATTGCATTTTTAAGGTATAATATTTGAAAAACTAAGATGGAGTGGCCTCGAAATGACACCTGGTTACTATGGCGATAATAAAATAACGGAGGTATTTTAACTTATGATCCCTCTGAAAAAAAGGTCATGAATGAACATTGGATTAGAATGAGATTGCCTTAAATCCATACAGGGATAAAGTGCGTAGAAATCTAATTTTGCAGCGATTTTACCTGTCAGTTTGTTTGGATTTTAAAATCAGTCTGCCATTTAGAAAGTGAGGATTAATTTTGTTTATGTCTCCTTTCTATAGAATATTATATTCCACATAAAATTTTGAATAATTTCTAAAAAAACTTTAGAAATCAGTCTCTACAATTCTTCTTAACTTTTGATTAAGTGACAACGCCTAGTGTACTCTGAACAGGTTCATATAAATCCAATTATTATCAATACTCGTGTAATTGATAAATAAAAAGTGCGACAGTATTAACATGAAACTCGCAGGCTACCCCGTCTTCAATGTATACTTCTTCTAACAGTATATTGAATTTACGTGAACCTTAAGCCATATTTGATGAGAATCTGATATAATTAATTTGTTTGCCTTTGATACGAACTCAATTTTTTTAGGATCTTATGACTCATAGTTATTTTTCAAATTACGACACCATTTGCCGTTATTTATATGATGATTTAAAGTATTATTGATGCTGCTGTTGATTTATTATCGAGCCTATTCATTACGTCTTCTGGGTCATTAAGACATTAAAACGATAACGAATCCTTTCTCTCTTACTTTTGTTCCCTCTTTCTCTTTCTCTCTGTTACGCTCTATCTCTCCGCCACTCTCCCGTCATTATATCCCTTTTCATCTTTTTTTATATATTCATCGTATATATATATATATATATATATAAATATCCTTCAATCTCCTTGTTGATGTATGACCAGAGAAACAATATAGAACAATAAATATACTCATCTACACGATAGTGAGTCATTGATTTTTGCAGAGATGTGCTTCCATGCATCCAATACCATGTTTATTTTTTGAAGACTGATATATTTCGACAGTGCGTGGGAGTTTCCTTTTCTCTGCCTTCTAACCGTCCAACGATCCTTAGGATATCCCTATCAAACCATGCAAACACTGAGTTTATTTACACATCAAACGGTTGAGAAAACGTCCGACTGTTGGGTGACCCCTCCACCAGTGACCTTTGATGAGAGAAGGGATTCTCGAAGATTTGCCCACTGCGCCTTAAAGGCCCACTACACTACTTGTAGCTACTTGCGCCCTCTATATAACAAACAATGCCTAATCGGTGACCATTGGTCCCCCATGATCCTCTTTTTCTTATGTTAACTGAGAGCTGAGTTGATGAGATAACCACCTGTCCAGTGACCTTGCAGGGCAGTCTAATCCCTCCTGTAAACTACGGCAGATAAGCTTTAAAGAAAATTAGGAATATTAGTTTATCACTGACTCTTAATTGGGAATAAAAGCTGAACAACTTGTTGTAGTTATTGTGAATAATCCCAAAGTGTTAGACGATGGTACAATACATAAAGCATTTTTAAGGCCTTGCTGTACATACTAAGAAAAAAGGGTGCAATAAGGGTGCAGATTTGCATCCACCTACGCATATTTAGCAGAGGGTGCTGCTATTGTAGCAGATTTGCACCCTTATTTCTTAGTGTGCAGAATACAATGTAATATAATCCTAAAATGAATAAATTGGATAAATACGTATTGAAAAGGTTTATGCGTTGGTTTCATAATCCCAAACCCCTGGCCCCCAAAATACCTTACCTTTCAGAGATTCGGGGTTATTGTAAGGATTGTGACGCATCTGTATTCGAAATACCTCAATTCATGTGTATCAAACATAATATAACATTTATTGAGAGAAGGATTTATTGTTAAAATCTTTGTTTATAGAGGTTTGTCCCACTTACCCGGAAGATGACCCACTTTGCCTCTTCAAATTAAATGATTAGCCAATGTCTAAAACTAAAAAGTTAGGGAGGCCTTCTTAAGTTAAATATCATTATGTAGAAAACGGTACCCCTATTTTAATTTCTGAGGTTATTTATGAGAAACTATTGATCAAAACCCTCCAGTAATTTTGTCAACACTAGTTCATTATTATTTATACACCACTACTGGGCAGTTATTAAGTAGTGCAGGAGGAGAGAAATTGGAGGACAAAAACACCAAACAATTGTTTACGATTCATCACAAAAATAATAGAAGAGCTTTACCAATCACAGACTTCCCAGAAGTAAACATTTCAGTTCTAGATTGAGGTGAATGGAAAATCAAATGCAATATGAATAATTTATGAGACGGATATTGCCTTCGGTGGGTGCCCCGTGCAAGGTCACGCACACTCCTATTTGCCACCACAGGAGTCCCCTTTTCTATTTTCTCTTCTCCGCGTCAATGTGGATGAGAGCGTCTTACGATGGGTGTAGTGGTCCTTAGCACGCATCTCCGGGGATTATCCAATGAACTTGTCTTTTGGTTTGTTTGATTGTTTGAGGAAGGAAGTGAAATTAAAATGCAAGTCAACGTCCTCTCCGGAATTCTTTGAAGAACGAAGCTTCCTCTTTGGTTGACTTTGTGGTCAAGCTCCTATCCTTGTGGAAATACTAGAGAAAACAAAAGATGTGGGTGGTTTGAAGAAGAAGAACAAAAAAGCAACTCGACTAGCATACCATATTTCGCGCACGTAGTCATGGTAGAGAATTAAAAGTTAATTACAAATCCCCCCCAACGGGAAACAAGACCCCATCCTTCTCTCATGATACGGTGGAAATTAATTAACTTGGGCTCCGAAATAAGCCTAGGCTTAGGGTTCGGTGCTCAGCTGTCGCAAATATAATAAATATAATTAATAGGTTTAGGGCAGAAATGGGTATTACTAGAAAAGAATTTGCCTAAATCCGGGAGTTATGTTATCTAACAGCATTAAAGCAATCTGAATAATCGTAAGGATAAACACTGATTCAAACTCCCCAAGAGTGAGAATGATGGGTAGTGGGCAGACATGGGTATTACTAGAAATCAATTTGCCTAAACCCGGGAGTTATGTTCTCAAAACAGCATTAAAGCATTCTGAATAATCGTAGGGATAATCACTGCTTCATTCTCTCCAAGAGTGAGACATGAAGGGTAGTGGACAGACATGGGTATTACTAGAAATCAATTTGCATAAACCCGGGAGTTATGTTCTCAAAACAGCATTAAAGCAAATTGAATAATTGTAGGGATAATCACTGCTTCAAACTCTCTAGGAGTCATACCAATCTATGACAATTGATATACATTCAATGCAATTTGGAGAAAAAAATACAGTTAATGTATCGCTCAAATGATTAGGCGATATAGGCCTGAGTAAATTAATATATAAATATGATCTTAATTATAGGGCTTCTATTCTGTCATTCCGTGTAAGCCCCAAAACAGAGCCAGCGATTAAGCAAGCAAAATCATAACAAAATCAACAAAAAAGAATGAAATCATACCGATTCGAATTGAAAAGGTTGATTTATATAACTTTTCTGCATTTAAAGCACGACTGTACTACGAGTAGCTTCTTGCTCCCTCTATATAGAAAACGATGCCTATGCGGTGCCCGTTGGTCCCCCACCATCATCTTTTTCTTATGTTAATTGAGAGCTAAGTTAATGAAATAGCCACATGCTAGTGACCACGCTGGATGGTCTAATCCCTCCTGGACAAACTAGTACAGACGGGCTTTAAACGATATTTTAGGAAAGGTCTCTTATTTATTGCAGAGTACAATACAAAATTACGATATAATTATTCCCTATGTTATTTCTGTTTACAGGTTTAATATCCAGGATACTGTCGTTACAGGCCTTCCAGCTCAGAGAATTCGATGACAGACGATTAGAGAAGGTAAAGCATCATCATCATCATCATCATCATCATCATTATAACTATTTTTAATATCAATATTGCTATAACTATTATTTGAACAAAAATTATCACAGGAGAGACAGGAAAGGCACAAAACTACCAAAAGCACATATGTCCGAGGCCTTATGGAATGCTGATGAGAAAGGAAACGTTAAGAATCTTCATAATTCTTTGCTAGCCTAAACAATATTTCCAATTTAGACTAAATGTAATAACAATCCCTGCTATAAAGAACACACTCACTCATTCACACTCATTCACAGTGTGAATCACAGTGTAAAATTGTGTGAACACAGTGTGGAACACAGTGTGATTCACACTGTAAATGAGTGTGAATGAGTGTGTTCTTTCCTTTTCCGGTTATCCACACTGTGACCCACAGTGTTAAACGAATCGAGCACAATGTGAAAACGCCCCAATTTAACATTGTGGAGCACACTGTGATTCACAGTGTGAAACACAGTGGGATTCACACTGTGAATGAGTGTGAATGAGTGTGTTCTTTCCTTATCCAGTTATCTACACTGTGAACCACAATGTGAAAACGCCCCAATTTAACATTGTGGAGCACACTGTGATTCACAGTGTAAAACAAAGTGTGATTCACACTGTGAATGAGTGTGTTATTTCCAGCAGGGATGGTCAATAGAAATAATCAGAAATGTGTTCACATCAGCTGTAGATAGCAATAGCAAATTAATATTTCTGCATTCATGACGGATATTTAAAAAAGAGAGAAATTGATCACATTTCCTTCTCTAAACTAATTAAATTGGTGTCTTTTTCTATGATTCCTGTTTTGTTTTAAAGTGATACAAAAGTCGTGTACTGTATACACCTTATAAGAGTATAAAGAGAAATGTAAAATATTTATAAAAAAATATTTAAAAAAATCAAAACAAGCTGTTTGGTTGTTGGAGAAATTTGACTTATTAAATTTTGATAAGAATGAAAGCTCCTTCAGATATATTGCGGCTAAACCTTTTTTTTAATGATGACTTAAGTGAAATAGTCTTCACATTTCCGTTTGTGTATAAGACAGAGCTCCGTGAATACATGCAAGTGATTTGTAGCTCGTAGTTGCCAATTATGTAACATGTAAAAAAAAAAAAAACGCGGTGTGCTTTTGCAGCGGTTAACTGCGCCATATCTGAACGAGCCTTATGTGTGTCTTTAACATCGCTGTACCAGTTCAAATGTTATTGATCATAGCGCTTACAGTATTAATACCCCTGGTGCTAAATGACCTTTCCATGCTACTATCATGTTGCAAAAATATTTATTTATCTAGAAAAGCCGCCAAAAAGTATACTAGTTGCGTGGCCTCATGGATTATAACACATAAGCGCTGCCAAACTGATTTATTGGGCATTCTGACCTTTCAAATTTTTGAATAAAAGCCTACTCAAAAATGTAAAATACAACCAACATGGACAAAGACGAATTTATTTTCAATATCCGAGATTACAGCTTCAGGCTGAGTTGACAGTAATATAAAATTTAAATAAGCGTGACAACATTTGCTATTTCGTATGAAATAAATCAAAAAATCGTGGCAGGTGAGGGGGCACATATGATTTAGAAAAAGAGATGAAAAATGTAGACTAGAAAGGAAAGAGTGCCCCATTTCTGGTATGTAGTGAGATTTCAGATTTCAATCATATTCATGAAGGCATAGTGAACCCATATTTATGCAAAATCATTTCCTTTTGAATAAATATTATGGTTCTGAAGTTGATTTTTACAACCGTATTATAAATTTGAGTGAATACAAATATAATGTTTTTCGGCTCTCATTAAAAATGAAAAGGGTTTAATTGTTATCTTGCAAAACAAAAACCACTTTTACCACCTATATATTATTATTTTTTGTAAACAAATATTTATATTTCTGGCTGCTCCTCTTCTTGTTTCCCTCTAAAAAACTAGTTCTAATCTAACCAAACGATGTAATCTTCTGTTAGCATGTTTAACATTTCTAGGTGATAATGTAAAGACAGTTAAAGCATGTAAAGATGTCGATCATTAGTGAATACATTCATGATCTCTTTTTCATTCAAAACTTGCTTTCTAATTCTATGTTTTCTTGATATTCTCAGAATAGAAATTCATACACAAGTAAGATCGGCCCACCGCCCTTTATTGCCAGGCCTCCGCCTGGGTACTCGGTATTTGATCTCATTCAAATAGCTGAAAATGAACGTGTTGCCTTCTCATCATATCCTACAAACTTCAAGCCAAAGGTACCTCTTCTACCACCACCAAAAAGATCACCAGCTGAATATTTAAAAGAAAACAGGGCGGTAAGTATATTAATCGATAAATTTATATAATTATTATCATTATTATTATCATTATCATCATCACTACTATTATTATCAATATTTGTATTTGTTATTATTAATAATATGATTGACGGTCAGGACCAGTGAGTGATTTTCCAACGTCGGTAAAAGTAGCACTATACCGCTAGTGTCCAAATACTGTGGACGGGAGGGGGGGGGGGGGGATAAGAACAACAATAAATGAACTAGTGATGTATTTAAGATAGCGCTTAAAAGCTACTTCTTACAATCCATTGGCAAGAGTAATCGAGTTTGGGACTTGCAAAGACTTGTTGAATTGATGAAAATGTACCGCTTATCATATCAAATTATATCATATATACTTTATGAGTAATATGTAATATGTAGCTTTTTATTTAGCCATCCACAGGCTACTTTATCCAATAAAGTCATAATGAAAAAGAAACAATAATAAAGTTGCATATGCTTGACTCACTATGTTTAATAAGGTTGTTCCCTTCTTTTTCATACAATACAAACAAGAGTTGTTTACGGCAGATTTACAGTTTATTTCTTTATATCTTGGTATCGAGAATTGTTTTGAGTGGAATGAGTTTGAAGAAAATAAAAGAACAATAACAATTCATCCCTGTCCATTCATTCATCAGGAGGACCTTTTTAGTATACACGAACTTTTATCTTAGTCATTGATTTTCTGTCAATATCTTTAGGAATCACAGTCCACCGAGACAAGGAGTAAAACCCATGTGTACCATTCAATCATAGGACTCAAACACTCAAGTGGTGGTTCAAAGGTACAGCGTGGGCTTGTGGAAGGGGCGGGGGAGAGCCCCCCCATCACAGACTGCACCCACGCTTTGCAACTCTTGAGAGGGATGGTTACATCACTCGCTATCACCCACAAAAAAAACCTAGATATAATCGTGATAATGACTAAGTTGTTAAACGAGAGCCATCAAGCACACTTAATGGGGTGAAACATAAGACTCCAGAAATGCTTTTAAAAGCACATCTAAAATGATAGACAAGCTTGTACACAAAAACTTCCGTCTTGGCGGGGTGACAGAAAACACGGCAGGCCTTTCCAGGTTTCATCCTTGAGTTTGCGAGGCGTCAAATAATGTTGTTTACACCCGTCCCATTTATCTTCTTAGTAAAAGGTTATGAGGGCACTCAGCCCAAGGTATTAGACTTGAAAAGGAGAATATGACAAGGAAATATCCTAAAATATTGGCTGAATATGACGAAATAAATGACGATGTCATGGTATACTGGTTCATTTACTCGAGTCTTAATCTACGGGGTTTATGGTTCGAATCCCATCCCAGCCCTAAAGTCCTTTGGCAAGTAATCAATCCATTTGTCCAACTTTCCACTCAGCTGTACATTTATACCTGGCAATTGCTAGGGGTAATAATAATTGCAGGGCCCTCTCTTGGGACAGTATTAATATTGGTGTGGCTACCAAGGGAGAATAAATTATCATATTATCACATGTTTGTGTCCTGTTGAACAATAGAATTACTTTCTTCTATGTAAGTTTGAAGACAGAGGAAACATTATAATAAATAAATAATTTTTATATAGCGCTTAATACAAATGTCTCTAAGCGCTTTACAAATAAACTATTACCCCGGTCATTGGATTCAGTGCTTGCCCGCACACAAGCCAGGCGTTACATGGCGCTCAAAAACTGTTTGACCAACAATGACGGTCCCATCCTACCGGGTACCCATTTGACACCTGGGTGGAGAGTAGCAAGTGCAGGTTAATATCTTGCCAAAGGATATTAGTGCCGTGTCAGGATTAGAACCCTTGACCTTCGCATCTCCAAGTCAAGCGCCTTAAACCACTCGACCACGACACTCCCACGAAAAGGCCTCCCACGAAACAATAGGTTTTAGTACTAGTCATTAGTTTAATAAGTTATACATTGTTTTGAATTTAGAGTTAGGGTTAGAGTTAGGTTTCGGTTTAGGGTTAGGATTAGGATTAGATTTAGGGTTCGGATTCGGGTAATATACCACTTTTTATGATGTCGGTCAATGTTACATTTAGCGTTACATATAGATGTCTTGTTAACACAACATGTATGGATGTAATTTTTCTTCCGCTTTATGCATTTTAGAATGAGATTAATCCCTACTAGATTTAGAATATAGACTAAAAATTGATCTAAAATATCAGTAGTACCATAACCAGAACAAGAAAATAACAAACACACTCGCCCACACAACAATTAATGGCTGGAATTTATGAATATACAATAAGTGTAATATTACAGTACAATCAATTAGGTGATACTTACCTTCTTTGTGTCCAAGTGTTCATGACATCTCAGTCCGTTATCTCATCATCCGCCCATGCATTTCTATTTTGGCACAATTTTAGCGATGTATTTCTTTCCCAATTCAACAATCTCTCTCTCACATCCGGGCACTCGGAGTATTAAAATAGAAAGGACAATCAAGACGAGAGTACCTTGTAATCGATGCGGATTCAACGACAGCATGGTATGCTACAGGGAAAGTCTTTCGATTGATCATTCCGGATGTGTAAGGTTCCCGGAACATCTTTTCCTTCGCGTTCTCGATTTCAGCTGAAAATCAACCTTGTTTAAATACGTCATTATTTGTTCAACATGAGGAAAAGGAGAGCAATTTACGTAATTAATTAGCAGAAATGAAGAGAATTGTAAATGTCATTGATTGAAAAATCTCCCTCAGTTCCCGGATGTATAATGTTCACATGACGTATTTTCCTTTGTGTTATCGATTTCAGCTGAAAAGCAACATTTTCTCCATATTTCACAATTCTGTACGCCTGACGCAAAAAAGCTATAAAAGGTGCTATTAATTGGCTAGCATTGACAAGGAAAATAAAAATGGCGATGATTTAAATGTCGGCCTCAGTTCTCTAATATATAAAGTTCACGTTACGCCTTTCCCATCTGTTACCGATTTGAGCTAAAAGAAATCATATTAACCCATTGTTTACTGGAACCTGGAGGTCCATGTGTTAAGTCTATGGGAATTAGATAATTCAGGAGTCAACGGGTTAAAACTTTGTTTTCATATGTAATTATTCGCGCTCCTGGGGAAAAAAAGGAAAGGGAGTAGTTAATTAGTACTGACAAGGATATTGAAGACATTAATTGTACAAACATTGATTATTGTAAGGAAAACATTGAATTGCCGCGAATGCAATGCATTTGTGTTGGATTGACTTTTTATTGGACAGCAGAATTGACAGGAGGGGATGGGGGCTCTGGCAATGTGCATTAACCCTAACCCTTAAACCAACGTTTTCAAAAACAAGCACAACGTGAGTGTTTCAAATCACACCTATGCATGATTCTCATTCTGTTGATATTGTGCAGTCAAGAATATCATTTCTTTGAAAAGCCATTCAGCATTCAGTGTATTGAATCGTTTCTTTCTATTTGATAGCAGTAAATTATATTTCTAATACCCATTTTCTTTAAATACCAACACTACCATGTACATGTAAGATTGAGAAAAAAATGTAGGTTCTTATAGCGAGGATATTTCTAGAGGAAACTGTCTCTATATAGAAACAGACTTTACATTGTTAAGGCTATTAATAGTCAATACTGCCCCTTAAAAGGAAGCATGGCATGATGGAAAGCTATATCAACATTTCAATAAACAAATCCGATACTAACTGTGATATAATAGCAGCTGTTTAGTGATGTAGACTAATCTTTCGCAGGTCAGAGAAAGATGATAAACAAGAGATATTTAATTCCTTAAACTAAACTACAATTACAGATTTTGTGTGTTGCTATTTTGATGTTGGTGTATAAAGTCAAACCACAGCTCGGAAGTCGGCCGTCTGGTCAGGCGCTGGGGAAAAGAAGTCGAGTGTTTTTGTCCCGTCAAGCTCCCATTCTAGACTCGTTCAACCGCATTTATCATTCAGCTCGTCTCCCGACAATATATTGCGATAACTGAGCCTCCAAAGGGTATCTTATTCTCTAGGGGACCTTGAGGGCATCATAAATTTGGCTTGACTTTGCTCTGATGACATCATAAACACACATTATCCATTATTCATTATGTCAGCATGACGAATTTTTAGACCATTATGTCACTTGTTTTTCAGATTCATTCGGGGAACTGGGAAAAGAGGAAAGACTCGCTTCGCTTTAACGAACGAGTATCTATTTATATAAAGGAGAATTCTTGCAATTTGCATGTTACTTTCAAGCTATTCATTAATATTCGGAAGAACTCTTCCTTATTTAGATGAAAAAGTGACTGATCTTTATCAAGAGTGAATAATAACAAACGTGTTTCCATGGATCAGTGGATACGCACAAACATTGATGACTGGTCCTCCAGTGGGCAGGCACGCATCCATATATTCGGTTTAAAGAAGTGACATCATAGAGGCATAACAACTTATGCAGATCAATGAATTTTTCAGCCTACAGGTTGTTTTTTTTTTATAACTATACGAATTATAGCAGTTACAAAACTAAAAGAACTACCCAAATACGGAATGGTCTGTTATAATAGGAGATTTCTTACTAACTTAAAAAGATAATACATTTATAGCTGTGTTTACATTTATCGGTAGACTGTGTAGTTTGCTAACCAACAAAAATCCTTGTTCAGACCTAGTCCTTCGAAAGCCATTGCTGTGATGATTGTTTTCAATTAGATAAGATGTCTGCTACTTAACATTTCCAAATTGAGTTAGATATCTTAAAATGGTACTCTTGTGATTATTGAATGTTAGCCTGCAATTCACAGTTTAAAGGTATAGACCAGTTTTGGAAACGCCCCCTCGTTAAAAATGAAATGGAAGCACTTATTACCAATCGTGTGAAAGAATATGTTTTGACTAATACGTGATGATACAAATTTTGCCCGGAAACCGCCTACTAATTAATATATTTGGTAAATTATCATATTGATCCGGCCCGGATAGATATCGTGAATGCACTCTAACATTGAATATTTGGGCATATATTGCTGCTTTGTTGCAAATTTAGGTCGAGGCATTGCCATCTAAACCTCTGAAGGCAATATTTAAACAATATTGAATGGATATTTTATACCCAAAACCCTTGAACCGAAATTTTACCCCTACCAGTCTATATCTTTAACCTATGTAGGTTATATGAGGACATCTCGTACACTAATAGAATTGCAGCCAGCTGACGTAGGATATACATTGAATCCCGGTACTATTTCAATCCTGTCACCCAGAAATCCCATTACATAAGGAGCTAGAGAAGGAACTGTTGGAGAAATGACGATTGTTATTATTGCTGAAATCGTTTTTAATCTCACTAATGGTCTCTGAGACATTTCAAGTCTATTAAAATCCTCGGATAACTCTCCAGGCGCGACTCTTAAATAAAATGCGAGTTTTGCCGATTTTAGAGCTGAAGCGAAAAGGAAGCGTTTGACGCACCGTGATGTATCTATGCCCACTGGCGCACGAGCCATAATTTGATTGACGTAAGGCTACATCGGCGACTGGCACACCTGCTGAAGCGTCATTCAAGTGTGATTTCGTTACAAAAAATGATTGCAAAATGAACATTGCAGATATTACTTTGATCTAATATACAGGTGGGTGTGCTATTTGCATCGGTTAGCGCCTGTATAAGTATATAGTTATGATCGTGGAGGTTCTGTGGTATAGTGATTTATTCACTTGATGCGTGAACCAAGGGTTGAGGGTTCGAATTTCAGCCCGATACTAATGTCGTTTTGCAAGGTCTTTGTCAAGAGGTCATTATAATTAAAGGGCATTAAAAAAAAAAACAATTGAGACTGATGAGGTTTCCTTTGGTAAACAAACTTATAATTTGCATTATTATTATTATTTTTATTAATATTATTATTATTTTTATTAATATTATTATTATTTATATCATTGTTTCATTACTATATCAAAGAGGACGGCGCCTCGTACAATTTTAAATAAAATTTGATCACTTGAGATGAATGTGGATACATTTGCATGAGACAACTAAATCCATTGCAGCTATATCGTTATGGTAAACTGCAGCCCATAACTCGTTAAACGCAAATACACACACGCACATCTATACATGCACACGCACAACACACCTAAACTCGCTTGTGCGCACACACACATACACACGTTGCTCAATGATACAATCCTAAGTTTGTCACGATCGGCTCAATTCCTGCAAACTTCAAGAGTCGTCTTTGTTCACCATTTTATGCATTGTTCCATTAAAATCGAATTTATTTATAGATTTAAAGTAGAAATTTAAAAAAGCAAAAACCGTAGGTGTTTCCCAGAAAATAAATGCCCTTTGGATATATTCTTTAGTTATGTTGTTATTACATTTGCTAAAAATAGCACAAAATGATGATAATAACATAAAAACTTATTAAACGATGGAATCCATATCGAAGTATCTAAAACCAATCTTGTTGTTGGTTTTTATGGCATTTTCCATCGTCGTTGGATGATTTTCGCCAATTGGCATGCTCTCTCTTTAAATACTCGCTGTAAATAAGGCCCGAAATTGAGAGATTTACGTGGAAAACCAATAGTATTGGGACAATTTAAATGCCAACTTAAGTAACGAATATTTTGCATTCTTAAGATTTCATTTTGACTAAAAATGAAGAAGATATGACCAGAAGCAGGATTGAAGGCTGCCACAAGTTTATTAAACAAATACTTATTTGTTTAAAAGTTAAACAATGTTAAATGGGTCATTTACGTCATATTTGATAAAAGACGTTCAGTTGGTTCATTAGGAAATTTCACACAACTTCACTTGAGAGTTCACATATTAAATGGATGCTATACATTTCAGATAAGAAATTACATTACATCGAGAGCAAGAAGATTGCAATGCATTATTGCCAATTGACGAAAAGTTTTTTGTCCCGAATTGGAGTAATATATACAGCCTCTTTGATTAAGGGACGAGTTTATCTTCAGAAATATCGAACAATTTTAAACTCTTTCATCAATAGGCAATAATGCATTACAATCATGCTATTGATCTGTTTCATTTCTCTTCATGCAATTCCATGGTATTGACACTATCCCCTATCTCTTTGTCTGTGTGTCTGTCTCTCTTTCTCTCTCACTATTGCTCTCTTTCAACCCCGTTCCTCTCAGTATCTCTCTCTCTCTCTCTTTTTAGCAATCAGTCTTCACAACCACATCTCTCCCTCTTACTCTCTTTCAACCCAAATGTCTCTCATTCTCTGTTTCTCTCTCTCTCTCTCTCTCTCTCTCTCTCTTTCTCTTAGCAATCAGTCTTCACAAAGAGATCGTGCGAGGAAATAAGCCGATGGGAAAAACTCAGCCAGGGCATCAACTTCCATTCAGCAGAAGTAGACGTCTACGAAGGACAGTGGTTTTGGGTCACGCGTTGCGTCAGGCAGGTCGATCCCACACAAAACGGGTACACGGAATGCTATGGGGTGGCTCGGAGTAATGAAATCGCCGACGGATCTTGCGTGGAGACAATTGGCTGGATTCTCGCTTATTCAAGGTTAATAGCGTAACTAGTCAAATGCCTGATGCAACGGAACGCCGTTCCCCTTGCGTCTTTACCTAGGCTTTTTAATTAAATGAACATAACGAACAAAGAAAGAGGGAAAAATATACAGTTCCTCATTCTACCCTCAACAATTGCTGTGGTAGACAAAGGAACATCCCTTCACTGCTATTATGTAAAAATGTGTAGAACAGGTGTCACATGCATATTCACCTGTTCTACACATTTTTACATAATAACAGTGAAGGGATGTTCCTTTGTCTACCACAGCAATTGTTGAGGATAGAATGAGGAACGGTATATTTTGTCCTCTTTCTTTGTCCGTCATATTCATAGTGTAAGCCTTTACGGGAAATTATTACATGCGCCAGTAATTCAAACCAATCATGGTAGAGATGCTGTGGCCTAATAAGTCACCCGACTGCAGATCACAAGGTAAGGGGTTCAAATCTCAGCCCGACACTATCGTCCTTTGGCAAGACTTTAATCTACGTCTGTCTCTCTCTAGCCAGGTTTTAAATGGGGACCCGGTAGGATGCGAAATTTAATGCAGTTTCCTCAGCATTGTGAGTGTCTGTCAAATGACACCTGGTTGAAATGCTCCTCAGGGAGTGGAGAATGCACATACATTATGTGCGTGGGCAAGCCTGAATCCGATGACTGGGATAATTAGAGGCATCGTTGATGTATTAAGCGCTACATAAAAGCGGAATGCTATTATTATAATACTTCTTTTCATCATGCAATTACGTTATATACAATAACGAAATTTGTATTGGCGCGATAAAGTCCGCAACAGTCGCTAACGCAAACCGTAATAGTAGCTAACGCAGCATTACGTGAGGCAAATTGCGTTTCTCGTGCAATGCGGTATTTTTAATACCGAAACATGTTAGTTTATGTTAGCATTACCCGGTTGTTTCTTGGTGTCACTACATTAATTTGACACGATCGCAAAGACTATAAAGCAATCAATTCATGGGTACTTTCAATAGGGCCTGCTTATGGTACTGCCTAACAACATGTACGCCCATTTAATGAAGGTGAGCCAGCAGCCTTGCGTAATCGCCTGGCGTTGACTTTCGCCTTTAAAAGTAGTGTTGCGATTGTGTTCCTTAGACCTGAGGGGTGTTTCACAAAGATCTTAAGTTGAACTTATCTGTAAGTTGGACTTAAACATTATGGAAAGCCGTTAGCATCTTTGAAAATATTTTGTAAAAGTTATTTTGAAAGGCATAAAATGTTGATTCAAATCATTCATATTTTCTATCATCAAGGAAATTTCATGTTCTGGATGTGGAATGTATAAAAAATCTAAAACACTTGAATTTCTGCTTTTGAATATATTTCATTTTAAGGCTCTAATGGCTGTCCATAATATTTAAGTCCAACTTAGTGTTAAGTTCTACTTAAGATATTTGTGAAACACCCCCTGGGTACTATGTACAATCTCACAGGCGGCTTGGCTCAATGGAAATAGAAATGGTCTTGGGATGGCAAATGCCAGATATGATAAAACGTTAACTATAATGTCCCTTTTTTCGAGCAACCCGAATCACCTCTAAAACGCCCCTTTGGCAATGGGTTAAATTTATATTTTAAGGAAAGTCAATCATATTTCCATGAAACCATCATTTTTTCTATTTTTTTGCCCTACCTCCTCCTTAAAATTATATTAGTTGATTTTCAAAAAAGGAATAACATGAGACAGCCTTTACCTTTCCATTTAAAGGGGCTTTATAACTGGGTAGTTATTTTAAAAACGATCTTATATTTTACTTTTGTAATACGACATTCATTTTCATATGTAAGAAATCAAAATTAGGATTGACCATCGATAAAATGTCTGCGCAAAGTTGGCTCTTAAAAGAGACATCTGCGCAAGTTCCGATGGTTAGTGTTAGTTCCGGGCAGTTTGAGTTTGTTCTGACAATTTATATCATCTTTCTTAACTTTAAAAATAACGCTGTTTTCACAATACGGACCCTGATCTTTAGGACTCCAAGAGCACTCCCTCCCCCTCCTTCCCCCTCCCTCCCCCTCCCTTCATCATTTGTGATTCACTTGCCCAGTTAACTTGTGTAAAACATTGCATTATAAAAACTCGTTTCGTTTCGTAGTAAAATTGACCGAAAAACTAGGTTACAAAATGCGTTTCCCCTTGAATATATATATGTATATGTATTGGATTTAATCTAGAATGGTAGATATAATTACGTCAGTGTACAAGTGAGGATAATCAGTCAAACGACTTCAACATACCCGAGGGGTGTCCTCGATTCGTCTCTCAACTTCTTTGGGTGGCCGCTGGGGGCTCTGTTTATAGAAAAGTGGCAACTTCACGATGAGATTATAAATTCGAAAAGGATACCTCGTATGAAAGGGGGGCATGGTTGCCGTAATTCCCTTTCCACACATGACGCGTTTGAGAAGATTTTGTAAGCGAAACGTAATTAGGGAAAGTGCCAATCACAAAAACCAAATAAAAACCAAATTTTAAAAAAAGGGATAGCTAAGCGATGTGGGAATGAGTCTTAACGGGCGACACAACCCTTATAATAAGTTCATTTTTATGAAAGCAGGTAAATAAGATAAACAGCGTGGTGAAAGTATAAAATTAATCAGATAATTATGAATGTTCGAAATACGAGCTCTTAAAATGAGGGAGAATCTCAAACAGGCATTTCCGTGGACAGTGACTTGGACACAGACAACTCTCCTATTTGTCGTGTACACAAACATAATTAATTTCTGTCTTTCTCCTACAGGGCACAACCCAAACTTCTCAAAATAAAGTTTGGATATCATTTAATTATACGTCATCTAAAGAGAAAATGATCCTCCTGAGTTAATACAGTTTTGAAAAATTGAAACTTTAGTCATTTTGTATGTTGAAACAAATTTGAAGTGGCCATACCCATGTTAATTACAATTGTCATAATTCATTTCCCATTTCCAATTTTTGTGGGGTCATATTTCATTCGAACTGACACCGGTCTGCTTTGTTCGCGAGGGGGGGGGGGGGGGTGTTTCACAAAGATCCTAAGTTGAACTTATCTCTAAGTTGGACTTAACAATTATGGAAAGCCATTAGCATCCTTAAAAATATTTTGTAAAAGTTGTTTTAAAAGGCATAAAATGTTGATTCAAATCATTCATATTTTCTATTATTATAGGAAAGTACATGTTCTTGATGTGGAATTATGAAAAGTCTAAAATACTTTAATTTTTGCTTTTGAATATATTTCAAAATAAGGCTACAAATGGCTCTCCATAATATTTAAGTCCAACTTAGAGTTAAGTTCGACTTTAAATCTTTGTGAAACACCTCCCTGGAGTAGTTTGGTGGCCAGGGTGTATCATCATATAAGGTTATTAGCTAAGCTAAATTATGTAGGGTTCATTTTCTTCTTTACCAAAGGAAAGGAACGAGCATTCGAGAGCTGTTAAAGAGAAGGTTGAGTTTTGGGAAGAGGTGAAAAATAATTTGTGAGCGTTATCATTCTTGTTATGCAAGTGTGGAAGAACATCAGATAAGACATGTTCCCTGAAAAGCATGGCTCTTCAAATGCCTTTATATTCTAAATATGTCATGTAACATCGTAAAACTCGGAGGTAGGACTTTTATGCCACGTGTTCGTGTAGTCCCATATACATCTTTCTGTGTACAGTGTCTGTAACTTTACCAAGACTTGGCCAAATTTCTTATCATTTTGATGATTCCAGAACCTTGCAATACACACACATTCTTATATGCTAGATGATCAACCTTTTCTGGTCGATTCCACACCGTTTCTTTCACAATGCAATCGCATGACCAGAACTCAACTTCATCTTTAACAACAGCAACAACAACATTTTTCTAGAATTTCGGTGCTGATAAATAGCCCTAGATCAACCCAGAAATTATTGTAATGCCATACATCGCAACTTAAATGTAATAGGTTTCATATTCCTTGCTAAACTAAAATTGGAGTCAGTGAGGCAGGCGTTGTGCTTGGATGATACCGAATAAGCGATCAATTAAAACATTAAGATTATATAAATGACTGCATAGAAAAAACTTACCTCCAAAGGGTTATACCGAGTATAAAGAAATACCACTGTTTTTTGCAAGTGCGACTTTTATTAGATATCCGAATACACTCTATATATTTTTACCTTTGGTAACTACAAAATAAACCATAAAGAATTAAACCCACCTAACAAAATTATATGATGTTACACTCCTACCCACGATGACTTATAAATACTGATACAAACTTTCTTCATCATGTTTTTGCAAATACGACTTTTATTAGATATCCAAATGCACTCTATATATTTTACCTTTGGTAACTATTAAATGCACCATAAAGAATTAAGCCTACATAACAAAATTATATGATGATACACTCCTACCGATGATGACTTATAAATATTGATACAAACTTTCTTCATCATGTTTTTGCAAGTACGACTTTATTAGATATCCAAATTCACTCTATATATTTTACCATTGGTAACTATTAAATGCACCATAAAGAATTAAGCCTACATAACAAAATTATATGATGATACACTCCTACCGATGATGACTTATAAATATTGATACAAACTTTCTTCATCATGTTTTTGCAAGTACGACTTTATTAGATATCCAAATTCACTCTATATATTTTCGCCTTTGGTAAATATAGAATAAACCCTAAAGAGTTAAACCTATTTAACAACATTATATGATGATACACTCCTACCGATGATGACTTATAAATATTGATACAAACTTTCTTCATCATGTTTTTGCAAGTACGACTTTATTAGATATCCAAATACACTCTATATATTTTCACCTCGACGAATGTTGTTGTTGTTGTTGACAGCATCGAATGCTCGTTCCTTTCCTTTGGTAAATACAAAATGAACCCTAAATAATTAAGCCTACCTAATAACCTTATATGATCATACACCCCTACCAATGATGACTTATAAATACCGATTCAAACTTTCTTATCAAATCTTTTAAATCATGTGTGTGCTGTTCCAAGATCAACTGTAAACAAACGATCCAATCTGTTTGGGCGAAAATGAAGAGGCATCTTCAAACCTAAATGAGTGTAATAGTTCGAGTTACACGACTCGTTTAGAATTTATTCTAATATTCGTGTTCTTATGTCATTATTTACTCGCAGATTAAAATCGGATCCCTTTGGAGAGTACGAGTGGGACTACATAGCGGTTCCGAATTGCTGTTCGTGCAAGATTGAGCTAGCACCTGGGGAACAAGTATTAGGTTAACTCGTCATCCAAACATGTCTTTAAGTTTTTATTTTTTCACTTACCAGTTTTCAGGATATTTAAAGTATTATTATATTAAACCTAAATTTACCACATATGTTCTTCACCAGGGCTGTGTTATAATTAAATATTTTTAATCAATTCAATTATATTTCAATTCAATTCGATTCAATCCAATTCAGGGGAGGGGGTGATGTATTGTAACCCCCCCCCCTCCCTTGAGTGGAAGTTGCGATTAAATTCTGATATAGCTACCTATTTTGTTTCATAGGGTGGGTTTGCTGCTTGTGCAAGATCATGCTAGCTCCTTGGGAACAAGAAATTATTAAATTCTTTATCCAATTCCTATATTTTACCTACCACTTTTCACTATAATTAAGTTATTATTCGTAAACAAATATGATTTAAACTTGAGTCGCTCACCAGGCATGCGTGATTAGATATTATTTTAACACTTGAGCGAAAGTTGTGATTATTTTGATACAGCCATCTTAATTTGTGTAGAGGTTTCCATTATTCCCTTAATCTGCTCTATAATCAAGAAAAACGGCATTCAGACATGTTACTTCTTTGATAACTCTGGCATTATGTCGCTTGAAAAGTATTACGTTCTTTGCTACATCTAAGTAAATCCATCTCGACTACTTTATAATTCTAAACGTGAAGATGCTTCGATTTTTTTTGATATTTTAAACTGTTATTTATTCGGAATTTAGCAATTTAGCAAAAGACTATTGTTGTTTTTCTTGTATTCGTTCTGTATCTTTGATATAAAATAAGATCAAATATAAACAATGGCATATCTGATTATCGGCTAAGGTTAAAGTCGATAATATTTGTATAAAGGGTTTCATATATTGTCTTTTAACCCGTTGACTACTGAATTGTATAGGTCCGATAAGCTTAACACAGGGACCACCAGGTTCCCGTAAGCAAAGGGTTAACAACAGCAACAACAAGGGCGTTTATTCGTTGTTAAGGTGTGAGTGGACGCTTTCGAGTATCAAAACAAGCGTTATCATGTTTCATACGATGCGTATATTCTTTTTCCAACTATTTTGATTGTATTGTAGACGCATTGTTTTCCATTTTCCTGTCATTTTTCATACTTCATTGACGATATTGCCAATTGGTGAAAAACAGTTTCGCTTGTTGCAAATCAAACAAGTCTGTAGCCTCGAATTGCTGTATATGATATTAGCAATATATTCACTTATATTTGATTCAGTCTGTGCCAAAAATGTGTTTTATGTTATCATTACAAAAATAAAGCAATCGGGCATTTTACCTCAAACTTAACCGAATGTCATACATGTTATCATGCCGTAATGCCAGACTATTATATTCTCAACAAACATTAACTACTTTTCAGGGCAGCAGAGTACTCGCATTTTACATATGAAGTAATTCTACTGAAGGAAATTTTAATACATTTTTGTTTTACACTAATCTATGTTCAACAGAGAAAAAATTATGAGACCGCACTTTTCAGGTCGAACAGAGTATCAACATTTTATTCATGAAGCTTTCAATCCTAGTCAACTGTTAGACCTTTGCAGTGCCAGGTTATTAATCTACGTTTAACCCATCTTATGAGACTGTACTACTGGAACTGAGTATCATCTGTTTCTTATGAATTAAGTCAAGCTTTGCCGATCATTTTGATGTTAGTGATGTTCAACTAATCGGTTTTCAAAAAATATATATAACAGGTGCATTGAACAATGTTTTTTTTCGGATCTTTACAGTAAATAAGCTAAAACGAATTTATAAAATGCATAAATGGTCCATTACATTATACATTTTCCGGGCTGGAAGATGCATGTTCAAAAAGCTGGATTGCTTATGATTGCAGAAACAAGTCTGCGATTGCATAACAGTTATGTCACCCATAGATACGCATGTGGAGTGTCATGGTATACTGTAGTTCATTTCACTCGACTCTCAATCCGGGGGCTGATGTTTCGAATCCCAGCCCAGCACTAACGTCCTTAAGCAAGACATTAATCTACTTTTGCCACTCTGCACCCAAGTGTTAATGGGTACGCTATATACCAGAGCGTTACATATTTGACCACCAGGGGTGATAATGTTCGAGCGTCAGGATGGTCATAGCCTCTTGTCGATGGCCCTCGCGTTTTTGGAGTCCGTAAATTCTGGCGAGCGAAAAGAGTCTGACCCGCTTCGCTCGCCAGAATTTACGGACTCCAACAAAGTAAAGCGAGGGCCATCGACAAGAGGCTAGGATAGTCACAGCTTGATGGATATTGTGTGCCATGGAGGCATGGTCGATGCTTCCATTAGGCCTAACAAAGATGCTGTATTGCCCTTTGCGACAGACCCTAAAGTCTTGATATCTACGATCGGCTTAAAAAAAAATATATTACCGTTTTTTAAAGACCGACCCATGTTTTGTCACCTAAAGGGCAATACAATTTTTTGTTTAAAGTCCTTATCAATATTATTGTTACGTGTATTATGGGGTTATTGTAAGTTGTTAGTACAAACAATTTCAGGCACTGATTATTTTTTTACGGGTGCTTGATTACAAATTCAAAGAAGAGGAAGCGTTTTGTGGGTTTGGCGTGTGTGCGATAGGGCGAGATAGATAGAGGATGAGAGTGTGCAGGCGAAAGAGAGAGAGAGAGAGTGGGAGAGAGCCTGAGCAAGAGAGAGAGAGAGAGAGAGAGAGAGAGAGAGTGAGAGAGAGAGCCAGAGCGAAAGAGAGAGAAGGAACAAGTCGAAGTTGTTGAAATTCAAATGGTCGTTGATTTAATGGAAGAAATCGATAAATAATTTGTCTTTCTTGTTGATATGTATTTTATGAAAAATGTGTAAATTATCGATTTATGTTTAAAATATTCACTATGTATGTAAAACAAATTTCAAATCAATGTACATTATCGGGCATTATTTGTATTTGTACGTGCAATTTCCGTGTTTGTAATTACACTACTTTTTTTTTTATTCTGTGGTACACCTTGTATATAGTTTGTAGCTGCAGTTTGTAGGCACACCTCTTTGAATTCCGTATTTAGAATTTGAGGAAAATAAATCACGAATGAAAAACGAAGGCATCGACTCAATGAGTTTTTATTTGTTTAAAATGTACGTGCTTTGTTAATCATTCATTAATGCCTGTAGAATAAGATGAGAATAATAGTTCACGGCACAATTAAAACAAAACGAATCAATAAAACCACTTTAAGACACATTTTAAAAAAAGAAGGGAAAAATGAATATAATAAAAACACCGTATGAAAAGATTTTCGTAAAAATAAACAAGGACACGCTCCAGCACCATGCACATACACCTTTCGACCCCCTCCCACACAGACAAAATAAAAACAAGTAGAGAGATAGAGAGAAAGAAAGAGAGAGAGAGAGAAAGAGGGAGATAGAAAGGGCAGAGAGAGACATAGGGGAAAGGGAAGATAGATGGAAAGAGTAAAATGGAAAGAGGACGGAGATGAATCTAAAAGTTTTGGTTCCCCTTCTTTCGGTGATTCATGCTCTCCGCAGTAGCTTCCAAGCCCGCTTTTATTATTATTAGCCCTATACAGTGGCGTATCCAGGGGGGTAAAAAAACCCTGGTAAAACAAGTATAACAAATGTTGGTAACCACAATTCTACTTTTTTTTTGTTTTGCTCAAGGGAGGGGGGGGATGTTGATTACAATATATATTTATTTTTAGTGCTCACTAAATTGCATGCGACCCCCTCGAAGCAGTTCCCCAAAGATGACAGCCCTGTTTTGGTACGTTGAGTTGAAATAACGCTCAGCAAGATTTTCAAATTTCCGGTCCCCCCCCCCCCCCTATTGGAAAATCCTGAATCCGCGCTTACCCTATATATTATATTTTTTGATTTATACTATAAATGTGTTTGGAAGGGAATCCAAACCATAAATACTACACTGTTTGATATATTGTTGTGCTTATTTGATACTGTACTTGATACTATAATTATGATTCATGTGCAACAAACACCGTATACAAATATTTGAGTTAATTGTGTGCGTATTTGGTACAATATTCGATACAATGATTAGGTTACATACACAATATACAATAAAATGTTTGCGATATCCTACTCTTTATTAGAAGGTAATATAGACGCATATGTGCGTAGGAGATCAGGAATTCATGCTATATCATCCTTACCTCATCCGTTACCACTAACCTGCTTTATGACAGGTTCAAGAATGGCCTCTATGTTGTTTAGAAGATGGACGGAGAGAGAAATATATTTTAGACGAAACATGTTCTCTCCGTACATAATATTTCATTTTTTGCAAGTAAAGCTATTGAACCATTGCATGAACGCAATAACAAGATTGTAAAAGTATTATTAAAAAGAGCCCTCCACACGATAAAGGGTAATATATAAAGAAGTTGGGACGTGATGTTATTAATATCAAATGGGATCGGTTTGTTTTTATGAAAAAAAACGATGGCAAAAGAAAAAACGATTGAAATTATGTTAATCTTACGTAATATATCATTATAATACGTAATATCTCAGCTGTGCGTGTTTCTTTTAAAAACCATTATCCGGTTAATGGCCGATAAGGGATAAATTTTGCCTAATAGAAACTGACTAAACATATTGAATAAATTGAATTGAATTGACCTTCTTCGCTATTATCCGGATAACGGCCTTGAGAGCTGTGACGCGTCCACGGGCAAAGTTATCCTTCTTTTAGAAGGATAATGCAGGGGAAGCTAACCGGATAACGTAAGTTGAAACTCACGCCGTTTCGATTGAGTGCATATAACGGAGAGAAACTGAAAATCGGAGTGATCACGTGATCGGAATATTTTACCTCGGCACTAAAATCGCAGGTTGACCTAGCAGTCCCACAAAACTTCGCGGTGACCTTAACCAAAGTTCGATGTACTTTAATCCACGGACTTTTAACCCGCTAAATCGGAACAGTGTATTTATCCGGATAATACGCGTAGATAGAAACCGCCCTTCCCTGGCATTATACGCTCTTTTCTGGTAAACATAATTAACCGGATAAATTCTGTTTAACTAATAAAAACACGCTGAATGTCATGATCGCACATTTAAATAGGTCATGCACAAGGCTATTGAAATTACCTTAGGTTGATTTCTCAAAAGTAGTTGCGATTGTGTAAAATGTTGATTTAAACAAATAAATTCATATTTTATCTGGTGGTAAGTA